AAGTGCTATGTCGCTGGACTCCCATGTAGTTGACTACGGTTCGCATACTGGACCTGGTGGCTTAAAACTCACCCCAGGTGCGTGTGCGTGCGTGCCCAAGATCCCGAGAGGAGAATGGAGGAGAAGGGATTGCGGCGTGGCCATCCCCCCCTGGGGGTGATTACTCGCTTTCTGTCTCTCAGTCTCTGTTTTTCTGACGAGTACACTTGCCCATAGTGAAACCCTCTCAAAAAAAAAAAATTAAAATTATAATTTGGAGCCAGCAGGCGATAGGGTGGTTGAGGGTACTGGACTCACACATGACCGACTGCAGTTCAAGTCCCGGATCTGTCAGCTTGCTCTGTCATTTTTCCTCTCTCTCCCTTCCCCTCCCTAGTCAAATTTAAATAACAAATAAAATAAATACAGTTCGATAAAATAATCATTTTTTAAAAAATTAATCTATGGGTCCAGCAGGTGGTGTGGTGGTTAAGGGCGCTGGACTCCCACATGGCCAACTGTGGTTAGAGTCCTGGACCTGACAGCTTGCTGTCTCACTTTCTTTCTCTCGCTCTCACTCTGTCTCTCTCTGGTCAAATTAAAATAAGTAAATAAAGTTAAATAAAATTTAAAATTATTTTAGTTTAAAACTTATGTGGGGGCCAGCACGTGGCATACGGATTAAGCACTGGACTCCCACATGGTTGATCACGGTTCAAGTCCCAGACCTAATGGCTTGAAACCCACACTGTACACATGTGTGCCCAAAATCTCAAGAGGAGAATGAAGAAGAGATTGCAAGGTGGCCATCTGTCCTAGGGGCTGATTTCTCACTTTCTCTCTCTCTGTCTCTCTCTGGGTCTCCAGTGAGCACCTGTGTCCTATAGCAAACATCTCTGTAAAAAACCTGAGGGGACTGATATTTGAAAGTATTTCAACTACCAGGACCAGCATATGGTGTAATGGTTACATCACCGGACTCCCATGTGGCCAACCATGGTTCAAGTCCCAGACCTGGTAGCTTGAAACTCACACTGGGTACATGTGTACCCAAAATCCCCAAGAGAATGAAGAAAGGATTGCAGCGTGGCCATCCCCCCTGGGGAGTGATTTCTCGCTTTCTGTCTCTCTGTCTCTCTCCCTCTTTCTGGTGAGTGCACACGCCCTATAGCAAAAACCTCTCAAAAATTATTTTATTGTATTATTAATTTTTTTTAAAATTTGACCAAAGAGAAACATACAGAGAGAGAGAGAGACCGAAGCTATGTGCATGCCCAATATCCCAGGAGGAGAATGGAGGAGAAGGGATTGTGGTGTGGCCATCCCCCCTGGGGGGTGATTTCTCGCTTTCTGTCTTTATGTCTCTGTCTGGCGAGCGCACGCGCCCTATAGTGAAAAACCTCTCAAAAAAAAAAAAAATTTTATTGGGGCCGGCAGGTGGCGTGGTGGTTAAGGGCGTTGGACTCCCTCAAGGCTGACTCGCACTTCGAGTCCCAGACCTGGCGGGTTGCTTTCTTGCTTTCTCTCTCTCTTCTCTCTCGCTCTCACTCTGTCCCTCTCTCTGGTCCAATAAAATAAATAAATAGCATGAAAATAAAGTTAAGAATTCAATGGTTAATCATTCTTTTTTTTTTTTTTTAAAGAATTCTTTTATTTAACTTTATTTATTTATTTTCATTGGACCAGAATGAGAGAGAGAGCAAGCAAGCTACCAGATCTGGGACTCAAACCGCTGTTGGCCATGTGGGCATCCAGCGCCCATAACCACCACGCCACCTGCCCGCCCCAGGCTGCCCACTTTCTAACGATGACAGTACCGAGGTCTCACCCTCCCCTTCCTTGCTTCTTGGGTTATAGACGCCAGGAGGGTGGGGCTTGCACCTGCCAGGCGTCACCCCTGTGTTTCCCTTGAAGCTGGCAAAGAGTAGGTTTGCAAAGGAGGGCTCGCTGCGGGCTGGGTAGGGACCCTGTCACCTGCAGCTGCAGAGGTTCTGTCGCCTGTGGACCGAGGACTACCTCCCGCGCGCTGTCCCGGTCCCGCCCCCGGGGCTCACCTGTGGGAGGAAACAGGAACCGCCTCGGGGGCAGTGGGCCCCGCCTAGCTGACGTGCAACCCCTGAAACGAAACCCAGGTTCTTGCAGGAACCAGCGCTGACAGAGCCAGGACTGCAGCTGCCCGGAGGGTCTCCCAGGTACGTGCCCTAAGAGCCTCAGCTCCCTCGCAGTCTAAGTGAGGCTTTGGGAATAATCTGGAGGCATTGCAGGAGGGCTTCCCGGAGGAGAGGACTATTGGAAAGCGGAGCTTGAGTTAACGGAAGTTGCTCTTGGCTGGAAAGCAGGTTAGGCAAAAGAAGGAGAGGAGAGAGAGCCTGACTGGTTTTGAATGGAGCAGGGGCACCCTTAGGACTGGAAAGTGGAGGAAGTAGGGGAACCCCCAGGGCCAGAGTTCCAAGTTTCACATTTAGTATGGATTTTAGATAGATAGGTGTCGTAAACACCATGGGACGTTCCTCTGTTCTTGACCAGTATCAAGTGATGCCTGGACCCCAGAAAATAAAGTAACCTGGGGACAGGGACCAGCAATTGGCGTAATGGCTGTGTCGCTGGACTCCCATGTAGTCGACTGCAGTTCGAGTCCCGGACCCGGTGGCTTAAACTCACGCCAGGCACGTGTGCATGCGTGCCCAAGATCCCGAGAGGAGAATGGAGGAGAAGGGATTGCGGCGTGGTCATCCCCCCTGGGGGGTGACTTCTCGCTTTCTGTCTCTCTGTCTCTCTCTGTCTTTCTGGTGAGCGCACACGCCCTATAGCAAAAACCTCTCCAAAAAAAAAAAATAAATAAATAAGGTGGGGGGCATGGCAGGTGGCATGGTGGTTAAGGTGCTGGACTTCCACATGGCTGACTGTGGTTCGAGTCCTGGACCTGGCAGTTTGCTTTCTCATTTTCCTTCTCTCTCTCTCTGTCACTCTCTGGTCAAATGAAAAAATAATACTACTAATAAATTGAAAATAAATAGATAATTTTGGGGGGAGAGATTTCTGCTATAGGGCACGAGCGTGCGCCCGAAAGAGAGACAGAGAGACAAAAAGTGCGAAATCCACCCCTGGGGGGATGGCCATGCCGCAATCCCTTCTCCTCCATCCTCCTCTCCGGATCTTGGGCACACACGCACACGCGCCCGGCCTGAGTTCAAGCCACCGGGTCCAGGACTCAAACCGCAGTCGACTACATGGGAGTCCAGTGACATAGCCATTACGCTAACTGCTGGTCCCCCCTGGCATGTTCTTTAACCCCCTGGTGCTGGGATTCTAACTATGCAGTCGGCCATGTGGGATCTGGCTTCTTCAACCACTAGGTCATGGGACTGGCTCAGTAAACTCCATTCTTCGATTTATCTAAATATATTTATTTATACACTTGCAATAATGGCATAATAAGAATAAAAGGAGGAGGGGTAGCAGGTAGCATGGTGTTTAAGGCAGTGGACTCCCACATGGGTGACTGCGGTTCGAGTCCCAGATCTGGCAGCTTGCTTTCTCACTTTCCTCTTCTCTCACTCTCTATCTCTGGTCCAATTAAAAAATAATAATAACAAATAAAATTCAAGTAATAAATAATTCTTTAAAAAAAAAAAGCAAGAAAGATTGGCAAGTGGCATGGTGGTAGAGGCACTGGACTCCCACATGGCCGATCATGGTTCAAGTCCCAGACCTGGAGGCTTGCTTTCTCACTTTTCCTCTCTCTCTCTTTCTGGTCAAATTTAAAAAAAAATTATAATTAATAAATTAATAATTTTAAAATTTTTTCAAGGAAGGTCCAGCGGGTGGTGTGGTGGTTGACGTGACTAAACTCACATGGCTGGCTTCCTGGTTAAAGTCCTGACCCACGGGCTTAAAAACATGTGTGCGTGCATGCCCAGGATCCCGAGAGGAGCATGGAGGAGAAGGGATTGCGGTGTGGCCATCCCCCCTGGGGGGTGATTTCTCGCTTTCTGTCTCTCTGTCTCTCTCTGTCTGTCTGTAAAGCGCGTGAGCTCCATAGCAAAAATATCTGAAAAAAAAAAAAAAGAAGACTTAATAACGAGAAGAGCACAGAGTTGGAGCTAAGCGAAGCCTGACTGTCTTCCTTCCTCTCAGCCCGGGCGACCGTCCCCTGAGAAGCCATGACGGAGACTGGGAGGCTGCCCCCGCCACTACCCCCACGACTAGACTGGTTCGTGCATACACAGATGGAGCAGCTGGCCCGAGATGGGGTCCCCGCGTGGTTCCACGGTGACATCTCAAGAGAGTGAGGACACCCCTGTGCTGTCCACCCCCTGCCTTTGGCCCCCTTTCCTCATCTGTGCTCAACTCAGTGTGGTAGGAGGGCCGGGCTCCTCTGTGGCCTCGCTGTGTGATCTTGGGCGAGTTACTTCCCTCTCTGGGCTTTGGTTTGTTCTATACAAGGGGCCACCAGGCCACCACTGCCAGGGACCTATTCGCACCCTCTGGCTCACCCAGGCCAGCCATCAGTAACTGATGAAGACAAAACAAAACAAAAAAACAACAAAACAGCCTCAAAATCCTTCTTTTTTAAAAAGAATTATTTTATTTATCTCGAGACCAGCAGTTAGTGTAATGGCTATGTCACTGGACTCCCACGTAGTCTACTGCAGTTCAAATCCCGGACCCGGTGGCTTAAACTCACACTGGGCGCGTGTGCGTGCGTGCCCAAGATCCCGAGAGGAGAATGGAGGAGAAGAGATTGCGGCATGGCCATCTCCCGGGGGATAATTTCTTTCTTTTTGTCTCTCTGTCTCTCTGTCTGTCTGGCGAGCACACGCGCCCTATAGCAAAAGCCTCTCAAAAATAAAAATAAAAAAGAAAGAAATTATCCCCCGGGAGATGGCCATGCCGCAATCTCTTCTCCTCCATTCTCCTCTCGGGATTTTGGGCAGGCACTCACCGGTGTGAGTTTCAAACCTCTGGGTCTGGGACTCAAACCACAGTTGGCCAGATGGGAGTCAGCACCTTAACCACTATGCCACCTGCTGGCCTCAATTATTATTGTTTAAATTAGCTATAGGGTACTTGCACTCACCAGAGAAAGAGAAAGTGAGAAAGCACGCTACCAGGTCCGGGTCTCGAACTGTGGTCAGCCATGTGGGAGTCCAGTGCCTTTACCACCACGCCACCTGCCAGCTCATTCTCATGTTGGCTTTTCATTTAGAACACTGAGAGTACCAGGACCAGCAGTTAGCATAATGGCTATGTCGCTGGACTCCCATGTAGTTGATCACAGTTTAAGTCCTGGACCCGGTGGCTTAAGCTCACGCCGGGCACATGTGCATGCGTGCCCAAGATCCCAAGAGGAGAATGGAGGAGAAGGGATTACGGCATGGCCATCCCCCCTGGGGGGTGATTTCTCGCTTTCTGTCTCTCTGTCTCTCTCTCTCTTTCTGGCGAGTGCACGACACGCCCTATAGCAAAAACCTCTCAAAAAAAAAAAAAAAAAAAAAACTGGGAGTACCAGCTCCCATGCTCCCCACGATCCAGCTCTGGGATTAGAACATCGGGAGTCTGGCTAATACAGGCCTACTGACTGGGACCACCTCCCTCCCTTGTGTGCTTTTCCAGGGCAGCTGAGAACTTGCTGGAAGTACAGCCAGTGGGATCCTTTCTCATCCGAGTCAGTCACAGCCACGTGGGCTACACGCTGTCCTACAAGTAAGACGCGGGCTCGGGCCAGGGCAGGGCAGGGCAGGGCAGGGCAGGGCAGGGCGGGGGCTCTGGGCCTACCTTGAAGCAGGCAGAAGTAGTGCTTTGTGTCACAGCTTCTCGGAGAGCAAACGGGCAGTGTCTGGGCAGAGTTGTCCAAAAAGCAAGCATCTGCAGACGTGGACAAGGTGGACACTGAGATGGTGCATCTGAGAATAGGGACCTGAGAGTGGCCATGGCCCTCCCTCTGCCCCCACGATCTATTTAGTGACTCTCTGACTCCGTATTCATTGAACCCAGGAGAAACCAGCTTGGGTTTTTTTGGCCATAGGAAGCGTGCACTTCCCGGAGAAACAGAGAGAGAGAGAGAGAGAAATCGACTCTTGGGGAGGGGGCTACACTGTAACCCCTTCTCTTCCATTCTACTCCCAGGATCTTGGGCATGTATCCACATGTGCTGGCTTGAGGATTTTTTTTTAAAAAAAAACTTTTAAAAACTGGGATTACCAGTGAGCGTAATGGCTATGTCGCTGGACTCCCACGTAGTCAACCGTGGTTCAAGTCCCGGACCCGGTGGCTTGAAACTCACGCCGGGCGCACGTTGCGTGCATGCCCAAGATCCCGGGAGGAAAAAGGAGGAGAAGGGATTGCGGCGTGGCCAACCCCCCTGGGGGGTGATTTCTCGCTTTCTGTCTCTCTGTCTCTCTCTGTCTGTCTGGCGAGCACACGCGCCCTATAGCAAAAACCTCTCCAAAAAAACTAAAATAAAAAAATCTTTTAAAAACTGTTTAATTTTATTCATCATTATTATTATTTTAAATTTTCTTTTTTTTTTACTTATTTAATTTTCTTTGCTATTATTATTTATTTTTTTATTTCGACCAGAGAGAGAGAGAAAGGCATTTATTTTAAATTTTCGATAGGACATGAGAATTCACCAGAGAGAGACACAGAGAGAGAGAGAGGAAAGTGAGAAAGTAAACTGCCAGGTCCAGGACTTGAACTGCTGTGGCTGACTATGTGGGAGTCTAGTGCCTTAACCATCACACCACCTGTCATACCCCCAGGCTTGAGGGTTTTGTTTTTGGTTTTTGGAGGTTTTTCGGGGGAGAGGTTTTTGCTATAGGGCACGTGTGCTCACCAGAAAGACAGAGAGAGACAGAGAGACAGAAAGCGAGAAATCACCCCCCAAGGGGGGATGGTCACACCGCAATCCCTTCTCCTCCCTTCTCCTCTCGGGATCTTGGGCACGCACGCACACGCGCCCGGCGTGAGTTTAAGCCACCGGGTCCGGGACTCGAACCGTGGTTAACTAAATGGGAGTCCAGTTATGTAGCCATTACACCATCTGCTAGTCCCACAACACATGACTACTTTTCAAAAGGATTTCAGGCCAAAGAAATAAAAACCTCAATGGCTCAATTACAGAGTAATCCACAGTGGGAAAAGCTTGGGTCCCTGAGTGACAGACACCGTGCAAGCAAGGCTCAACTCTGTCATTGCATGCTGCGTGATCTTAGACGAGTTACTCAGCCTCTCTGTGCCTCGCTCAAACTGTCCATCTATAGTACAGGAATACTAAAATTTAATTCACACGAGGAGTAAACAAAATGTAGTAAGCACACTGCGGGCCATTACTGAATACATTCATGGACTAACTGAGCATTTATTGAGTACCTATTGTGTGCTATAGGCCAGGGCCTGACTAAAACAATTTTTAAAAAAATTATTTATTAAATTTTACTTATTCATTCATTTATTTTTAATTTGACAGAGAGAGACAGAGAAAGAGAGTGGAAGAGGGGAAGTGAGAAAGCAAGCCACCAGGGCCAGGACTTGAACCATGATCAGCCATGTGGGAGTGTCCAGCACCTTAACCACCACGCCACCTGCTGGTCCCATTAAAACAATTAAAAAAATTTATGTATTTAATTTTATTTGTCATTATTATTTTTTTAACTTGATGAGAGAAGGAGAGAAAAAGAGAGAGCAAGCTGCCAGGTCTGAGACTCGAACAGTGGTGGGACATGAACGAGTCAAACACTTTAACCACCACGCCACCTGCTGGCCCTATTTTTGTTTCAAAAATTTTTATTATTACCATTTCTTTTTCTTTTCTTTTTTCTTTCTTTTCTTTTTTTTTTTCTTTCTTTCTTTTTTTTTTTTTTTTTTTTTTTTTTGTGTGTTTTTTTCTTTCTATAGGGCACGTGTGCTCACCAGAAAGACAGAGAGAGACAGAGAGACAGAAAGCGAGAAATCACCCCCCCAGGGGGGATGGCCACGCCGCAATCCCTTCTCCATTCTCCTCTTGGAATCTCGGGCACACACGCACACGTGCCTGGCATGAGTTTAAGCCACCGGGTCCGGGACACAAACTGTGGTCAGCTACATGGGAGTTCAGCGACATAGCCATTACGCTAACTGCTGGTCTCTCTTGTTTTTACTTTAAACATTTATTTATTTATTGGTTGCGATTTTCAAGCTGCTGGGCCTGGGACTCGAACCATAGTCAGCCCTGTGGGAATCCAGTGCTTTAACCACCATGCCACCTGCTGGTCCCTGAGTTAAACTTTTTTCTTGTAATAGCTTACTCCAACTTTGTAAGAACTCCCGAGGTCAGCCTTTACAAACCCCGTGTCATAAATGGGGAAACTGAGGCACAGGGCGGTTAGTAAGAAGCCCACATGGAAACTGGGTGACATCTGTGGACTAGGAGCTGAAGGAGGACTGAGGGAGAGCAGGGTGTCCCAATGCCAGCCATTTCTCCCCAGAGCCCAGGGCTGCTGCCGCCACTTCATGATCAAGGTCCTGGACAATGGGAGTTTCCTGATCCTCGGGGAGACGGTGACCCACGCCACACTGGACGCCCTGGTCACCTACCACCAGCAGAAGCCAGTTAGGCCCCACGACACGCTGCTGACCCAACCCTGCGGGCAGGTGAGGGTGGGACGCACGTCCCAGGAGCCCAGCCTGCAGAGGGCTCGCTCCCACGCACCCCTTTAGCTTCTGAATCTCACTCTCTTGCGGTCCGTGACCTCCCCCACTCCGCCCCTCATGGGCTCTGTCACCCCTTGGTGCCACCCTAAGGCCCATTTTCCCGCATGCTAATTTTTCACAACGGCTTATGCGTGGGTAGACTCTTGGCTGATCAGAAGCAATGGCTTCTAAGAAACAGCTCTAGGTGAGGCTTCATTTCCAGGAGGCTCAATGGGCGTGAAAGTGCTGTGGGCGGAGCATATCACCTTCTAGGGCCCAGTGGGTGTGGCCTGGCTCCTGACACTGCTGTGGGCGGGACATATCGCCTTCTAGGGTCCAGAGGGTGTGGCCTGGGCCCTCACACTGCTGTGGGCGGGACATCTCCCCTTCTAGGTAGCCGGGCCCCTCACACTGCTGTGGGCAGGGCATCTCCTTCTAGGGCCCGGTGGGTGTGGCCTGACCCCTCCACACTACTGTGGGCGGGGCATATCGCCTTGAAGGTTCAATGGGTGTGGCCTGGCCCCTCACGCTGCTGTGGGCGGGGCATCTCCTTCTAGGCCCGGTGGGTGTGGCCTGGGTCCTCACACTCCTGTGGGCGGGGCATCTCCCCTTCTAGGGGCCGGTGGGTGTGGCCTGGCCCCTCCCACTGCTGTGGGCGGAGCACCTTCCCTTCTAGGGCCCGGTGGGTGTGGCTTCCCCCCCCTCACTGCTGTGGGCGGGGCATCTCTCCTTTTAGGGTCCAGAGGGTGTGGCCTGGCCCCTGACACTGCTGTGGGCGGGGCATTTCTCCTTACACTGCTGGTTGGTGTGATCTAACCCGTAAGAAGCTGTTGTGGGTGGGACATATCCTCTCTTGCCATTCCATGGGCGTGGCCTAGCCCTTCTGAAACTGCTATAGGAGGGGCGTGTTTCCCTATAAAGCTCAGTGGGAGAGTCCCAGGTCTCAGAAACCGCAGTGGGAGAGGTAGTTCCTGGGACTCGGCCTCCAGGAATAGCCCTGGACCCCGGCCCCACTTCTTGCCCTCCAAGGAGCTGAGCCACAGGCCTTTTTATTCCGCAGAAAGACCCTACAAATGTGGATTATGAGGATCTCTTCCTTTACTCCAATGCTCTGTTGGAGGAAGCTGCGAGCCCCCGCTCCAGTCCCGGCCCCAGCCCCAGGGAGCATCAGAGGCCTGCCTCCTGCCTTGTGACCTCATCTGAGCAGGTACTTGATGGGACTCTGACACCTTGGCTGGGGTGGGGAAGGGCTGGAGCAGAGGTGACCAAAGCTACCTGAGGAGGCTCTTTCTAGAATGAAAATCAAATGTAAGGGCTGGCAGGTGGCGTGGCGATTAAGGGCTCTGGACTCTGTCATGGGCAACAGTGGTTTGAATCCCAGACCTGGCAGCTTGCTTTCTCACTCTCTCTTTCTCTCTCACTCTGTCCCTCTCTGGTGAAAATAAATAAATAAATAAAATCTAAAAAAGAGAAAAGGAAATTAAATGCAGGGGCCAGCAGGTGGCATGGCGGTTAAGGGCAGTGGATTCCCATATGTTTGACCACAGTTCGAATCCCGAACATAACAGCTTGCTTTCTCACAACCCCCCCAACTCTGTTCCTCTCCACTCAAATTTAAATAAATAAATAAAGTTAAATGAAGCTCACACTGGGCACATGTGCCCAAGATCCTGAGAGGAGACTGGAGGAGGGATTCCAATATGGCCATCACCCCTAGGGGGTGGTGATTTCTTTTTTTTTTTGGAGAAGTTTTCACTATAGGGCGCATGTGCTCGCCAGAAAGACAGAGAGAGACAGAGAGACAGAAAGCGAGAAATCACCCCCCAGGGGGGATGGCCACACCGCAATCCCTTCTCCTCCGTTCTCCTCTCGGGATCTTGGGCACGCACACACACGTGCCTGGCGTGAGTTTAAGCCGCCGGGTCCAGGACTCGAACCGCGGTCGACTACGTGGGAGTCCAGCGACATAGCCATTACAGTAACTGCTGGTCCCAATTAATTTTTTTTAACCAGAGAGGGGCAGAATAAGAGAATATATAGAGAGAAAGTGAGAAAGCAAGCCGCCAGGTCCAGGACTTGAACCCCAGTTGGCTGTCCAGCACCCTTAACCGCCACGCCACCTGCCAGCCCCATGAGATGATAAAATTGTTTACTGAGATGGGAAGGACGGGGCATGGGAGCAGGTTTGGGGATTCACGTGGGGATGTCAGTCAGACCATGATTTCTGAAGCAGCTTTGGGACTCGGGGTGGGGCAGGCTGGCCCCACATCTCACCTGCTGTGGATTTCAGGCCTCCCCAAAGCCAGGCCTGCTCCACTGGGCTAAGGACAGGAAGCTATCAGCCCCGATGCATCATGTAACCACAGAGGAAGCCACGTCCTCCTACCCCCAAAAGTCCCCTCTTGTGGAAGCCCGCCAGAAACTCTGGAGGAACCTCAAAACCCTGCCTAAGACGGGCAAGAAAGTTCAGCAACAGCTCAAGTCGCACCTTGCAGCGGTAAGCCTGCCATCGCTCTGGGATGCGGGGCGACTGGCAGGGACCCCAGGCTCTGGGGCAAGGACCGGTAGCCAGGAGCACTCAGGAGAAACAGCCTGGAAGGAAAATATCTACCATGACCCCTTCATGGCCACCTCCCTCAAAAGCACCTCACAGCCACAGTCCCTGAGAGACAGAGCCACCTCCTCCAGGAAGACCGTGAGGCCGGCCAACCAGAGCTCACCTGGGGGCGCGGTGACGCCAGGAGACCGGAGTTGGCACCGAGCAGCAGCGAGGGCCCAGTCTTCCCCAGTGTACACGCCAGAGCCCAGTGGATTGTCAGAATCCCCAGAAGACTGGCTCCCCGAGGAGTACAACCCGCCGCCCCCCTTCGCCCCTGGGTACTCCTAGGAAAGGGAATCGTCCTGGTTCTCAGACCCCCTCGGCACCCCTGCCAGGGGCTGCTGCCCTTCTGAGTCATCTGCTCTCTGCCACTCCCCCACGCTAGTCCCTAGAAACCTGGAAAATGTAATAAAAATGTTTGGGGTTCTGGTCGTGCAAGTGCCAGTGAAGTGAGCTGGTTATTTATTTTTCCATTTTCTTCTTCTTTTTTTTAGATCTTTGTATTGTTTTTATTTGTTGTTATTATTTACGTTTAATTTTACCAGAGAGAGGGGAAATAAGGAATCAAGCCACCGGGTCTGGGACTCGAACTACAGTAGGCCATGTGAGAGTCCAGTGCCTTAACCACCACGATACCTGCCAGCCTTCTGTTTCTTTTTAAGAGGTTTTGCCTTAAGGCATGTACACACGTCAAAGAGAGAGACAGTAAGAGGGAAAGTGAGAAATCACTTCTTGGGGGGACCGGCAGGTGGTGTGGTGGTTAAGGGCGCTGGACTCCCACGTGGCCAACCAAGGTTCAAGTCCTGGACCTGGTAGCTTGCTTTCTCACTTTCTGTCTCTCTCACTGTCTCTCACTCTGTCCCTCTCTGGTCAAATTAAAATAAGTAAATACATAAATTATAAAAAATAAAAAAAGAAAAGAAAAAGAAATCACTTCTTGGGGGGGAATGGCCATGCTGCAATCCCTTCTCCTTCCAGGACTTTGGGCACGCACGCACACGTTCCTGGTGTGAGTTTCAAGCCACCAGGCCTGGGATTTATACCATGATCGGCCATGTGGGAGTCCAGCAATGTAACTGCTATGCCGTCTGCTGGCCCCTCTTCTTTGGGGTGGGGGGAGGTTTAAGTTTATTTATTTACTATAGGGTGAGTGAGCTCACCAGAAAGATATAAAAAAGCGGGAAAGTGAGGGGGCCAGCAGATGGCATGGTGCTTAAGGTGCTGGACTCTCACGTGGCCAACCACGGTTCGAGTCCTGAAACCACTTGTTTGAAAATTGTGCTGGGCACGTATACATGTGTGCCCAAAATCCCCAGAGGAGAGTGGAGGAAAAGGGATTGTAGTGTGGCCACCCAGCGGGGGGGACAATTTCTCACTTTCTCTTGCTGTCTCTTTTTGTCTCTCTCTAGCGAGAACACGAAGCTATAGCAAAAACCTAAAAATAGAAAATAGGAGGGAGAGTGAAAAGGTGCTTTCTCCCTCTGCTCTCTCTCTCTCTCTGATTTATTGGCAAACCCATGCGCTCTCTGCCAATTTGAACAAAAGCAAGGGAAAAAAAAAAAAAACAAAGCGAAGAACAGTCCTTCCTCATGGACCTGCTCAGAGGTGTCAAAGAGATCTCAGAGGGTCTGGCACAGGTCTGAGCACACGGTAGTCACCCCACACCATCATTGGAACTCTGGAACTCTCCTTTTTATTGTTATTAAAATAACCAGACGGGAGAACCAGCAGTTAGCATAATAGCTATGTGACTGGACTCCCATGTTGTTGACCACAGTTCGAATCGTGGACCCGGTGGCTTAAACTCACGCCAGGCGCGTGTGCGTGCGTGCCCAAGATCCAGAGAGGAGAATGGAGGAGAAGGGATTGCGGCGTGGCCATCCTCCCTGGGGTGATTTCTCATTTTCCCTCACTCTGTCTCTCCAGCAAGTGCATGTGCACCCTATGACAAAAACCTAAAAAAAATAAATAAATAAAAAACTACTGAGGTTTGCCCCATGATATCTGGTTTCCATGCACAGTCCTTAATGATTGTGCTACTTGGGGGCCAGAGGTAGTGTGGTGGCTAAGGTACTAGATTCTCACATAGCTGACTGTGGTTCGAGTCCTGGACCTGGCAGCTTGCTTTCTCACTTTCCTTCTCTCTCTGTCTTTCTCTGGTCAACATCAATAAATTAAAACAACAAAAATAATTGCAATGAGTAAAAATTTTAAAAAAATTATTGTGCTACTTGAAATTTTTTTTTTTTTTGAAGAGATTTTCACTGTAGGGGACGTGCGCTCACCAGACAGACAGAGAGAGACATAGAGACAGAAAGCGAGAAATCACCCCCCAGGGGGGATGGTCACGCCACAATCCCTTCTCCTCCATTCTCCTCTCGGGATCTTGGG